AATGAATTTGAAGTAGTTAGGGATCTAGCCAGCATTGAAACCCATGCAATTATATTTACAATAAATATCCGTTATCTTGGAGCTACACACACAACGGCACAGTGCTTAACACGCTGTGATAAAGGTGCTAATCACAACCACTAAATATAAAAGAAGGGAAAGGCATCTGTAATCCATTCATCTTTAGAGAGAAAGAAGAGGACACTGTACCACAGAGCAATTAAAATCTGAACAGTTGGAGAAATAAAGGGAAAATTCAAGGCAGGCCTGCACAAAGAAAGGGGGAGAAAACAAAACAAAAAAAAAAAACCCAGCCCTAACACAAAAATTCAAACCCACAGGAAATTTCTGATGCACCATTCCTATTAATAGGATAAAAGTTGCTGGCAGATACTATCGCTAAGCATTTTATTAATTAACCGGAGATACACAGATACAAGGGGTTTGAAAGTACCAAGGACGAACGGGCTGCACAAACTGCCTCTTTGCAAAGAACACAGTGTGCTTCCTATAAGGATAGTGCCTAAATTAGCCAGCAGCACTTTTTGAGTCAAAGAAAACCTCTAGTTAAACCAATTCTGTTGTCCCCTCCACCACTCATTCCCTTTTTATTTGCATAGGTCTAAGACCATAAAACTTAGTGCATGTGAGTTTCTAGGAAAGTGAATGGCAAACTTTTGAAAAAACGGATTTTTCAAGATATCAACTTGGATTTCTATTTTAGTTTAATTTTTAACCCACCAGTGCACTATTCCCAAACACTATTTCTTCATGTAGAAGCATTTAAATAATTTTATTTCCCCTCACAAAAGGCTCTGTGAACCTAAAAAATAAACCATGTTGACATACCTAAGCCTAGGGATTTATTGCACATTGGGGATTCTCTCTTCTGGAGACTTGTTGACAAATCCTCAAGCAGGCTCTGTGTCTTTGGCAAGATCCATGCGTTACAATTTTTTTTCCCCTGATCCGTGTCATCAGTCATACAACCAGGTAGTACAGTGATTCAGTGAAAGGACAGAATACTGAAAAACAGGGTTTCTACCTCTCTTATTGCCAGGGTTTATACATCGCTACATTACTCACCATTTTCTGTAATTTTCTTAAGAAAATACTGTCATTCAGAAAAATACCAAGCAACAGCAATAGGTCATCAGTTTAAATTGTAAATAACGGTGGACTTTGTTCTCATTTTTATTTTCAAAACACCCTTTTGTAATACAACATTGCCTGCAATGTCTTGTTAAAGGATTTAATTTTGTTCAATAAAGAGACAAGAATTGCAAGTTGGAAGCTTTTAGAAAGACATTGGCATTCATAGGCTGTGGGAAAGTTCTGCAAATCCTTTATTTATAGATACATTTTTTTTCTAGATGGAGAAGAGCAAATAAATTATAACAAACAATTTATTCAACACATGTTGCTGTTTGTTCTTTTCCAGAATGTGAAAGTCATCAGAAATTCATGAACAAATCTATTAATTATTTGAATAAACCCAATTACATTCTTTCTACAGTTCATTGTTCCAACTGCTCTGTTTTGCAAGGAACAGACAAGACTATGTACAGGATACACTTGGTTTTTTCATTAGAAGCAATCAGTCTTGAGTCAGCAAAGTTCAACATTTACCTTCTGTTTCAGTGGGACTATTCCTAAAAGTTAAGCATGTGCTAAAGGGATTTTTTTTTCGAAAGAACACACCTCCAGTAAGTTAAGTACCTGCTGGCCCCATTAATGAATCACTGTTGTAGCAAGGTCTCTTGTTCAATAGCTTCAAGATAAAAAAACCGCATCATTTCTTCTCCATTACTGAAGAAGCCTTTTCTCTCTGCTAAGGAATGCTTTGCAGAACAAAAAACATTGAAGGCTGCAGGTGCAGTCACTTACCACATATAACAAACATTTAGGGAAAACACGCTGTTAGCGTTTGCCCAGTATTAAGTGCAGCAGTGTATAAACCCTTCACACAGTGTGAGTGTCATAAAATTCATGGGTTTTAGAGTAGCTGAGTCCTACATCTGAACAAAAGTCTGCAGCTACCCATCTGGACCACATTAGTGAAACGAGATGCAACTTTCAAAGTAACCAGAGTTTCTCACAGCGCTATCAGAATTTCGGGTGGGAAGGGGACAAGGGGAAGAAAAATCAGGTCTCAGGATCCATAGGTTTTTGCTGAAAACATTCTTGGTGGCAAAACCTGTAAATATGTTTCCTTCTGCTTTCCATTTCACAGCAGGTATGATAAAAGACCCTGAGTTTTAGTATTTTTGCTTTCACTGCAAAAACTTTTTGAATGTGGAAATATACTATAGCTCTACACTCTCTTCCCCATGCCCTCTTAATCACAGGGGACTGGCTAGGTGCCTAAAAAGTTAAATGTTCATTGGAGGAATGGCTTGATGTTCTACAGAAATAGCATAAGCAGGGCTTCCAAAAGTTCTGCCTGAAAGCCTAATTCTGCTCCTCCTGAAATAAGTTTTGGAAAGTTCAATCTGAGACCATCACATAGATCCTTTCATTCCAGGTGCTGCAGCTTTCCTCTGGCACTGTCCCATATTGATTATAGGCCAACTTCAGTGCAGTCTACTGCCAGAACAGGCAGTTCCACCCTTCCACCTGAAAGCCTTTTCCTTTCATCTATTTGGTTTTTGAGCTGGAAAGGGATTAGTTTTCAGGCAGATTAGTCCTCGATCCAGCTCACCAGATGGCTACACAAACAAAGGTGGCACTGTGAGGAAGGGAGTGGGAAGGTGCAGCCAGAGGTGGTGAAGGATTTTCAGAGCCAGCCTGCACTTAAGTTGGCTTCACATGCTTGCAAAACCCTTAGTTTCTTCTTAGGTTTCTCTGCATCACAATAGCTAAGGGATCATGCAGATTTTGCCCAGCTAAAACCCTTCTTAGTTCTAGAGAACAGTTTTATTACTCTCCAACAAACATCAGGCATGGTTGTATGTATAACCTCCACACCACTGTTTCTGTGCCAGGAAACCTGTCAAACCTCGAACCTGAAGGACATTTGAGTGATCTGATAATTTCATTCTTTAGTTTCTAGTGAAAAGTTTCATCAGGGGTCAGCTGCAATGAGATGACATCTCTCCACTAATTTGGGACCACTTAGTCCCAATTTAATCTGACTTTCATCAGGAGACTTGAACCCATACTTGTTTGCTTTGATTACAATCATTTATGTTTCCACCCCTACACCTTTTTCCAGTCTTGTATAATCACAGCAATGTAGGTAGGCATGAGGAATCAGTCAGGTGGCATTATAAAGGTAAGTGGTAGCCAACTTTTTTTTTTCTGAGGGTCTTCCAGCAAAACCTAAATTCCTCAGAATAAGGTAAGGACTGGAACTCGACAGCTAAAATCCATTAATCGAATACCATTAAGGGAGTACTTGATAGCTGCCTTGTTAGGACCATGAGGCACCTGCCTGTAGCAAGGAAGTGGAATGTGTGATCCCAAAAGTCCACTCTAGTTTTAAGTTCCATTGTTTGCAAACACTGTTTTACCAGGGGAAGGAAGAAAGTCCTTGAACATCAGTCAACATTTCTTTGGTTATGAACAAAACATTACTCACAGGCTCAGGTGGGGGAGTAGAGGGTAGGATCAAGTATACCCTGTCACACATCTGCACCTCAGCTGGTGGTACAGACTTCCATTACAGTCAATTGGAGAAAAGTAGGTGACATTACGGCACAATTTTTATCATCCTAGGGTCAATTTCTTAACAGGTCAAATGACTCATGCCTAAAAGTGCCTGCTTCTTTTGAACAAAGAGTTAAATATGAACTACAAAAGAACAAAGCTAAGCATTATCCTCTCTGGTTAGGACACCTCCCTCTTCCTTCCACAGTCTGTCTTAAAGAACATGTAAATGTTTCGGTATAATGAAAACAGCATCATAGTGACCTCAGCTGCCCAAATATACACAGCCTCCTTTAGAGGTAAGTCTTCACTAGCATTTTCTGCTGATGCAATTCAGTTTTGCCCGCTAGGACAGAAAACTACTCTAGCCAGGTTCATATTCCCTCTGGTAAAGAGCTGGAGTTGGGCCTTCCACCCACTGCATGTGAACTGTAGCCTCACAGGTCAATGGTGTCTGCAATGCCGTTTATTTAAGCACATTTTGATGTTATTTTCATTCATTTTTTTCTGGACCAACATATGAGGAAATCTAAAATGAAATTGCTAGTGATTTCCAGATGCTTTAAACCACTTTTTAGTTTCCACACCAAAACAACAGTAGTCATTACTGCTTATCACCAAATACAAGAGTTAAACCCTTTCTTAAACAGCCTGTGAAGGAGAATCTTTAAACACAATATTGTTTCCTAGCATAAGCATATGTTAGCATGTGTGAGAATACAAGTCTTCATCATCATTATGAACTGTGCTTCATCACTTCCTATTGCATACCTCCAAATTAGAAAAATTTTGTCAAAAACGTGTATCAAAGGCGGCATCAGATTCCTTTTATGAATATGTCAGTGTTATAAATTCTTAGTAAATTGTTAGGCAGTAGGGTGCTTGCATGATTAAAACCTTCTGGGCTTTGGAAGGCATTTTCTCTGCAGGAATTTGTCAAATCCTGTTCAGTTCGCTATTGGGAGCACTTAAAAGACAAATAATGTTACATACAATCTGGCCACTGTAGATGCATTTCTGCCATTTTAATGAGTCTCTCTCACTTCCAGACAACAAAATCATCGCCATCCAGAAGGTAAGCAAACAATTAAATGCATGATACCTATTATGCAGATCCATTTAATAGCCATCTTTTGCTAACGTATATTCCCCAAAGTATACTGGTAGGTAGTATAGGTGGCACAAGCTAGCTTATATTTTGGTAACACTACATACTTTTTCAAGGAGAGGGAGATGGAAAGAGACAGTTTCTGGCCATTTATATAGTAACAGATATTGAGGAAATCGGGAGAGATCACCAGGACAGAAATTGCATCATAAAGTAAAAATGAGCCGACCATATTATCACCTACCTTACGTTTGTTTGTTGGACAAACATACAAGTAGCTCAAAATAGTCTTCAGACCGACTTTATCATTCAGTTTCTCATATGTCGTCCCATAATCTGTTGACCTACAATTCAAAGAGAGATTTCGTAAGTACAAACAATCACAAAGCCACAAGTCACTTGGCATCACAAAACCACGAGTCACTTGGCGGCTTTTCAATATAAGTCATGCTTTACATAGCGGAATGGCTCTCTAGAGCTTTTTCAGTGATTCATGTAGTATATAATGATACTTAATTATATACACACAGCATCATGTGAGTGCTTATAATTTGCATTTAAATTAGATTAGGAAAAATCAAACCGGCATCTTCCCAAAGCATTTTAAAATAGACATGTACAATAAGAAATACTAAATTCTGCATACAGAGATGATAATGGTTGTCAGAAATGCCAAATAGCAGACAGCAAGAGACTGAAGTTATCAATTCAATGTATACTCCAAGCTTAGACTAATTTTGCTAAGAGAAGAGTCTTTTCTCAGCATATTCCAAAGTAGCTGCTCCAGCTGATTGTTCAATGACATTGGAGTTCAGTTTTCTATGAAAAAACATCGATGTCCTTTTGAAAACATAACTAACATGAGCATTACACCCACAACTTATATGGTTTTTTTCACATGGACTAGCAGAGAGTGTGGAAACACGTGCTTTACTCTCGCTTTAAGAGCCACCATTCAGTAGAGAAAATAATACACTTCCAATATGAAGGTTGCCCGCAGAGACACTGACTACATGTCATGAGGAAGAATAGAACAAGTGAACAAACAAGACTATACAGAGTTCATGGAACATCTACTTTTAAGATGTGACTGGAACCAAGATCAATTATCAGCCGAGGTTTTGTTCATTATGCTGCTCATGCTTGCCTAAATTATGTCCTAATATCCAGGGGATTTAGATAATCAGCCCAAACGAGTACGGGTATCCACAAATCACAGAAAAGTGACATGTATCTGGGTAACAGAGGCATTCAGAAGTGTAACATATTCTTGCAGATAATAAATCTGCATCTTGTCTTTAAAATATACAAATGGGTCCACATAGAACTTCACTTGCAAGCAGTAACATGAGTTTTCCCTTTGCTAATCACTCCAAAACCAGTCATTCTAAAGTAAACCCTAGGCACCTATTATTCCCACATTCTCCACTGTCTGGGAAACAATGGCTAAATTCACTTAATGTCTACATTTTTTTTTTCTCTCCCCTTTTTTTTTTTTTCGGAGTGTGGAGGGTGTTGAGTTTCTGGATCAGGTTCCACACCTACATGCATACCACAGCTTCTGGGATTTCAGATTTTGTAATCAGTGCATGAATAAAACAAGAAGGCAGCAGCTTGGGGTTTTACCCATTAAGATGAATTGCACTAAAGCGTGGATTTGCATTGCAGTTGAGGCTTTCTATTCAAGAACTTTATCAAAGCATTTGCACATATCTGTCCTGGTCATATAACAATTGACCTATGGTTTACAACCATAGCTTTTTCCTTTCCCCCCAATAAACATATGCACCCCTGTGCACATATATGACCTTTGTTGGTTAGAATATGAATGTCAAATTCTCATCTACTCATTGATCTTTCCCTTTTATAAGGTCGTCTCTCTCAGGAGCACATATAAACTAACCGAGCTATTTCCTCAGTGGACTGAGGAGGAGGAGGAGGATGTTACAGTTGTTTCTGTTACTGAACATTTCAGAGATGTTCCAGCATTCAGATGCAAGGAGCCACAGCAGGATGCTGAACATAGCCCTGCCAAAGACTGCTGGTTCACTTTGGCTACCTCATCCACCTCACCAGCCAGCCTTCTCAGAAATTAATAATTTCTGTTGTGGTTTGCCTAAAAACCAAAACCTATCCCTTGTGAAGTTTGGTCTGATAAAGACATGTAAAGGTTATAAGGACTAAATCTGACCCGCTGAGTTCGAAAAAAGTACATTAATAAAGAAATGCAGCTGCTCTTTATACCAGTGACAGTGATTTCAAAATGGGACCCTTCAAAAGGGTATAGGAGTGAAGAAAATCTGACACATAAAACTTGCTTTGAAATTGTTAAAGAAAAGGAGCCAGTACCCCTGCCACAGCACAGGCAAACAGATGTCAAAGGCCTATTGCACATGGTAATCTTAGTCAGAATTGCCAGCCATTCCTTACTTCAATTCTCTAGGCAATTATTTTGCATTCATAGCTTTATTTACAGGTAACGTTATATCCAGATGGAAGCGTGTGCTTCTGTCAACATCTATAAAAGCAACTGAAAGATTGAAAAGCTTAGAAAAAACATTTTTTTTTTCAGATGAACAAATACACAAGCAAAGGAGCTACTATTAGATCTTACTCTCATTTATCATGTTCTAAACTAGCAATAGCCAGTCCTTCTACCTGCCCAGATACAAGTTGGTGTTTCTCTTACACCACTTTACAATTACCTGTAATTTTAACAGGGAGGTGAACATTATACAACAGCAAAGAGGCACCTAGAAGCACTTTAACACAAGGAAATGGTGATAGATACGCTAACACAGAGCAGCAGAACAAAAGAATTGTCTTATGAAACACCATGTACGACATGAAGCCTCTGTTGGGATCTAACCCAGGGGTATCACCAACCTGCATTCATCTTATTCCTCTTATATATATGTATACAAACAGGCATTGGTTAGCAGCCTGGATAATGAGCTCTTCGTTTTTCTTATTAAACGAGTATATAAAGCAGCATGAGAATCCTAACCCACGAAAACCTATCAGCCATTTGGTGAGCCAGGAATCCAGCCTACCCTGGAAGTGTTGCAAAAGACAGATGCACCTCAGCAGGGTGTAGGCAGCAATGCCAGTGTACGTTCAACAAATTCAATCCCAGGTATCTGAAGGGGAATGGGTATGTATCAACCAACATCTCCCACACCTTGTGTGGTAAAGGCTGCGTCTCTGAAGCTCGGCAGAGAGAACTCAGTTTTAGTGCACTTGTATAACATGAACAGTGCAAGCAAATGCTGGATAAATCATCTGAAAAGACTAAACCCAGGGTGGACCTGTAGAGCTGAAAACACAAAAATGAAACTGTACCTCCTGAACCGTCTCCTGAAAAGCCACAGCTAATGAAATAACAATTTGTAAATGAGTGAACAGGAAGCCCTATTTTATTAGTTCTTGTGTAGATATGCATGTTGCAATGGTTTCTCAAATTGCTTGGGGGGAGGAGGGGCATTTATACATGTTTCATCAAATTAATTTAAATCTCTATGTAAATTTTTTCTTTTTTTAGATTGATTTGGCCTGGTACAGTTAGAAGCTAGTCCAAAATAAGTCCAGATGAATTTGAAATAGGAAGGTCTGCAGAGAAATTTGATATATGTGCAAGTCTGTCTAAATACGGAAAAAAAATAGATATGCATTAGGGCATTTGGATGTCACGGAAATGCAGATGATACTTAGTAAAAGAATAATATTCAGAAACAGAGTATTGAATCAATTTTGAACTTCACACCTGTCCCACCATTTTAGTTGTAATTGCTTCCATTAAATCCATCCCAAATTTTACAAGTAGCTGTTTAGAATCAGACTGCCTATTTTTTCAGTAAGGGAGAATGATTTCTACAAACACCCAAGATAAACACTTTAATTATTACTAGTTCATTTGACAGTATAAAAAAAAATACCAAAACTGTGGGACTGAAGCTCTGACTTCCCTGAATAATAAATTAAAACAAACCTAGAAACAAAACTAGAATAATTTATATTTTGCAAACTATTTGCAAGAAAGTTGACATTTAAATAACTTCATTATTATTCATTGACAGGGCTTTTCCCTCTCCTCCCGTCAGGGTAAATGACATTTCTATTACAGTATTATAATAAACTCCTGCACATTTTAAATAAAGTCACTGAATTCCATTAGTCCACCTACTGTCATGAATATATCTCAATCCATTCTTACCAATACTTCACAATTATAATAGGCATTCTGAATCAACCAGTAACATGAACCCTATGGAAATTTTCTTCTTTCTCAAGAAGCGCAGACTGAAATTCAGAGGACTGTCAATTTGAATATATAGATTAAATAAATTCTCTAGCAAGTTGCTGTTTATTCTCCGTTGTTACAAATTTAAGGTTGTCTGTACTTATTTTACATAAGCTGCTGAAGACTTGAAAAATCAACCAGTTGATTGTTTGGTCAAGGTTTCTTTTCCAACAAGATCTTTCTGGAACACTCCACGAGAAAAAAGAAAAACATTACACAGACTTTAAGCTGTGTAACATCGTGTCTCTTGCCTATTAGAGTGCAGCTTTCTTCCAATAGAAGACACATGTTAACAGATGAAGTTTCTTGTCGTAACACACATCATTAAGAAGAAATCACTTTAATTGGCACCATTTACTTTTTTTTTTCCTTTTTTTACCAGTTACGCCTGGTTTTCACATATTAATGTGACTGCTTCCCCTACCTCCACCATGAGAAGACTGTCTATGTATCACGTCCTCACTCTCCTTATTCCACCGTCTAATTTGCTGCTCTGACTGCTGTCTGAGTGGCAGCCAGCCCCGGGGGGGCAGGACCAGAAGCACCCCAATGTGGTTAGGGAGCAGCGGAGCAGGGCAGCTGGTCGTGCCCAGGAGCGCAGCCTGAAGAGATGGGCTCTCGCCTGCTTCTCCTGCTGCACATGAAGTCACCCCTGGCAGAAGTCAGGTATTTTAAGTAAGAAACAGCAGTGACTATCAGATCATCTGTTCCAACCTCCCACATAAGGTCTTGTTTGCCACCTGGTTTGCCTCCAAAGGAACTGGCCAGTTGAGCCTGAGATTTGCCAGTTGCTATCATACTAATCTCTTCACGAGCAGATTTTTGGATAGAAGGCTTTCAGACCGCAGAAGGCAGAACTGTGGGGTGACAGGCTGCACTTACAAAAGGCTTTCACTGAAAAGTTTTTGAATAAAGGAATTAAGACATTAAATTTCACATTAAGACATTAATTTTTCACATCTGAATGTGAAAAATACTGAAGCGGGCAATTCTAGAGCGTATTTGTATTCCTGAGTGCAATGTTTAAAGCTTGTTTGTAAACTC